ACTGAGCAGGGAGCCCGATGCGGGACTCGATCCCAGGACCCTGGGATCATGACCTGAGCCGAAGGCAGACGTTTAACCATCTGAGCCACCCAGGCGCCCTAGAATTTTTTTTCTTAAAAGGAGATGAATAAATTGAACATGATTTTATCCTTTCAGGAAACTTACTTTACACATGTGTTTCAGGAGAAATGCATCAAATAGTGTAATCGAATGATCTTGACTTTATGGTGGAGGAGAGCAAAAAAATCAGCATACTAGTAGCAAGTAGTAATAGTACAGATGTGTAGGGTAATATTACTTATGTTAGTAACCATTATGCCTAGCATGGAGTCAAGCCTTAAATAATGTTTATTGAAAGAATTGGGAGATTGGGATAAAGAGAATCCAGGAATGAGGAGGGCTCTCTTAAATAGTTATGTTATAAAGTCATTATTCTGTTTCTCTTTAGCATATTACTTTATTCTTTCCTCTTAACTTTATTTACATTTTCCTGGTGGTCTTCAGTCCCTGAGACACTGCCATTTCTTTCTGGTCCGTGCACCAGGCTGTTTTAGTGTGTGGATGGCCTTTACTGTTACGGGCAGGCTGTGGAAGCGGTGAGGCGTTGAGCTAGTTCAAGTGTGGAATTCAGATTAGTCATTTTGACAGTTCTTCCAAGGGTCACTGTCACTGAAGCAGGGCATGTATCTGATTATTTTTTCTTTTATAGCAATCCTCTTTGGCAGTAGGGCTGACCTCTGGTGTCTTCTCCTTCATTTCTCCTTTGCTCTCATGCTTTCTTGGATCCCTCCAATGTTTCTTATACTTTGATGGTACTTCTTTGCCCCAGTAAAGGAATTAGCTTGTTAAATTTTCAGGAGTTTTCTGAGATTTCAGCGGGAGTTAGGATAGACTCATAGGCTGAGTTCACGCAGTCTGGATCCATTTCTGGATACTTGGGATTTAATTCTCCTTTGGAGGGATTTATTCTATGAAAAGTCATGTTTAGAATACTTTGTTTTCTTTTCTTTTCTTGCATTTACTAGCAAGTATTTATTGAACAATTAGTGTCCCAGGAATTGTTAGATCTCTTCTACTTCTATCACATTCCCTAGCTCTTTATTCTATAAATTTGGGTTTTGACTTTTTCCCCATTACTTATGAATCACTGTGAAATTCATACTGTCTCTGTGGTAATTACTTCCTCTTTCTTTTATAGCTCAGGAATGGCTAATTTTGTTCTTATTTTTGTCATATTTTAAATGCGCCTCTGTTTTCTTAAACTTTGTGGGCTTTTTGTTTTCCCTCCTAATTTGGCTTCCTGTTTTTGGAGTTAAACTAGAGTACAGACAAGTCATCTCATACCATTTCATCTCTTCCTCTCAATGTAATACTACACTGACTTCCCTTTGTTAGGTAGGAAAACACAGCTGGTTTTTATTCCGATGCCTCTTTTGGTTCCTGTACTTGTGTAGATGTCGGGTATGAGTTAGCATCTGTGGTCCTTTCGTGGAAGAAAAATCAAGAGAATTAAAGGTTAGAGTGCTGGCAGTTTGACTGCCATTTTTCTTTTTGGGAGGTTTTATGTCCTGTTGTTTGTGAATTTAATTATTTACACAGTGCCGGCTGTATGCCTCCCACTGTACTAGATGATGATAATTTATTTTTTTACTTAATTTTTTAAAAGATTTTATTTATTTGACAGAGGCACAGCGAGAGAGGGAACACAAGCAGAGGGAAGGGCAGAGGTAGAGGGAGAAGCACGTTCTCCCCGATGCGGGGCTTGATCCCAGGACCCTGGGATCATGACCTGAGCCGAAGGCAGACGCTCAACGACTGAGCCACCCAGGTGCCCCTAAATGATGACAATTTAAAGATGACCAGCCAGTCCATGTCCTCAAGGGGATTATCCTGTTCTTAAGCTTTTCAAGTTTGACATTTTTATTGATAATTATTTAATATCTGGGTGTCTGGTACCCTTCAAGAATGTAAGTTCTCTGAGGGCAAAGACTAGATCTTTCTTAAAGCTTTTTTCTGCAGCATCCAACATTGCCTGGGAGATAATAGTTCCTTATTGAATAGTTTTAATCACACAAGTATACCTTGTTTTCATTAGGTCATTTCGTGGTAGACAGCTTGGCATGGTGCTTTGCATGTATTAGACAATCAGCAAATTTGTTACATCATTTAAAAGTCTGAAAATGTTCACATTGCCTTTAGAGATAGTGAATAAAAAGTAAAGGCAGGCAAGAAAACATCTGCACTGTAGGCTCTTGGATCTGTGGATTTGACAGTAGAGTGCTTAACATTTGGTGAACATGCCTGATCAGCCTCTCAGAACTTCAGAGGCTCCTGTAAAATGGTTAAAACTGTTTCTTTGAAAAATGACTGCCGAGAAAAAGCCAGTTGCTATTTCAGGTACAGTAAGTGTAGCATCTAAGAAAATAATGACTCTCAGCTGGTAAATGAATGTTTTAGGTATATTGTTTTACGGAGTAGAATATAGAATTCAGTCATGGCTTGAGTTCATGTTACTTTTCATGGAAACTCTGGGTATGGTAGCCTGTGCGAGTTGAGTTGACCAAATCACAGGTAACACTTGAAAGAAAATAATGGGGAGATTGAGATGTCCTGATGTGATTTGCCCAGGGAACATGCTGATAAACGAAGAAAATAAGATTTGGGAAGGTCAGGAGCTTGTACAAATCTTTGTGTATTTGTGAACTCTGGGATTTAGAAAATCTTGGAATATATCTTTGGATAGTTCAAGGATTTCCTGTAATGGAGGTGGCAGATGGGAATGTGTGTTCTTCCTCCTCCTCTTCCCTCCTCTTACTACTTTTCTCCTCCCTCACTCTTCACACTGAACATCTTCCAGCTTCACCGGCCCCAGCCCATTTGCCTGTCTGTCCTCCCTGATCTCAACCTTCTCTTTCCCTGTGGCAACCCCTTTGTACTGTTCTCTCAGTCCCACCCCCTCTACACACTTATGGCAAATTATTTTTTTCCTGGAAGCACCCCCTGGACTAAAGTCTCCTGAAATAAATTATGGGGAACTGAGAAAGATGGGACTTTTTACTTTTTCTTTTCAACTCTTTGTAAGAGGAATATTCTTTTATTCCCAGATGATAATTTGCTCTGTGGCTTAAATATTAACAAAAAGAGTAAAGAAAGTGATTTGGAATAAATTCTTTTGCCATTTGATATTAATGATATTTAGTAGCTCTAGAATTATTAAAAACTAATAATGTACTTTTTTTTTTAGGTCCGTATTGAAACAGCTACAACACTGAAGTTAAATATCCTTTAAAGAATTTAAAAATACTGCTTTGTGATGGGGCACCTGGCTGACTCAGTCGGTAGAGCACGCGACTCTTGATCTTGGGGTTGTGAGTTCGAGCCCCATGTTGGCTGTGGAGATTACTTAAAAATAAAGTCTTAAAAAAATATACTTCATGAGTGCCTCAGTGGCTCACTCAGTTAAGTATCTGCCTTCAGCTCGGGTCATGATCCCAAGGTCCTGGGATGGAGCCCCGCATTGGGTTCCCTGCTCAGCCGGGAGTCTATTTGTCTCCCTCTCCCTCTGCCCCTCCCCCTACTTGTGCTTTCTCTCAAATAAATAAATAAAATCTTTTTTAAAAAAATACTTCATTGTGAAGAATTTTAGCAACACATTTAAATTGTTAATTTTTTTGTAAAATTTGTTAGTTTAAAATGTAGTTTTTGAATGGCTTATTTATTTGGTTTTTAGACATATTTTATTTGGATATATTTCATATATTCTCAGTATTCCTTAACTACTCTTTACCTGTTGATGATTTTGAATTTAGAACAGATCAGTTTCTACCGGTAAGAATATTTATTTTTAAGATTGATAACAATTTCTGCTTATGTCCTTTGAATATTAAGTGTTATTTTATAACTGAAATTATATGTATCTGTTATTGATTAAAGCCAAATTTAAAAGTATATTGGATTATTTTGGAAGTAATTGTATTGGTAATTTTGATTCATAGCTTTATTTTTATTCTGCTTATTTTTGTTTAGCTATCTTAACTGTTTGGGAGTTGATAAACTTTTTTCTTTTTCACAATTATAAAACATTTAGTTTCATTTTATCTGTGTCTGTTACTTTTACTCCGTAGGTTATCCTCATCTGTTTGTTGTGAGCCACTCAGGCGCCCCGGTAGTACTGATTCTTAAGAAGACTTTGCAGGGGCCTCTGGGTGGCTCAGTCGGTTAAGCATCCAACTTTTGTTTCCACCCCGGTTGTGATCTCAGGGTGGTGAGATCAAGCCTGGAGTCGGCCTCCACGGTGGGCGTAGAGCCTGCTTAAGATTCTCTCTCCCTCTGCTTCTCCTCTCTCTCTTAAAAAAAAAAAAAAACTGGGCAAGAAGAAAGTTAATATGATAAAATGTCTATCTGTACTTCTTGTGTAGGTCATACATGGAGAAGCTTATAGAGCCAGGTTTTTCATTAGTAAAAGAATCATTAGGTATTTTTGGATGAAATAAATGTTTTCGAAATCTTCCTAAAAGTAAGTAAACTATCTGGAAGGTCACATGTTTGTTTTATGTAAGTATCTGGCATCCTGTGTTTTGTTAATTCCTACTGTAATTTTGTAACATAGGAAAGAGTCAATAGCCAGACATGGGATACTTGTTTTCTAATTCCTAATAATATCGTGTCATTCTTTGAGTAACATATATGTACAGAAATTGATATCTCCATGCAGCGTATGTTAAGGGCCACATCAGAGAGCTGGTATGCGAGTATAGTTATTGATATTCCTTTTGCTTTAACGAGTAGAATTTGCAAAACAAAACATTCTGTGATTGGCAATAGGCATATATGGAAGGGCAAAGACAAGAGAGACACTATTCGCAGTTTAGTTAGCGGTATAAAGTGTAAACACAAAGTTGAGACACAGTTTTCCTCTGAAAACATTAATGTGTTTGTGGATGAATTAAATTCTCAAATGGACCCATTGAGCAATAATAAAGAAAAAAGAATCACCGTCCTAAATATTGGCAACTTGAACAATTTGAAGTTATTTAGGTAATGCTGAGGTTTTGGTTGATTGCTGTTTATTGCTTTGAGATTTTGATTTAATTTTCTTAATTCTGTTTGTGAAGATATTTCGATTTCTATTCTGACCCCCCTTTTATTTCTCTTTCCCTGCAGTATTTGGAAACCATGTTCACACTACTTTTTCAGCTACTGCAGCAAGTTACAGAATGTGACACAAAGATGCATGTTTTGCATGTCCTTTCTTGTGTGATTGAAAGAGTCAACATACAGGTAAATTTGTTGTGAAACATTAAAATAAATGTCAGAGAGGTGAGTAGAGTATGTGTAGAATGCATTGATGTTTTTGCTTTATGTACATTATTTAAAAGTTAAAATATGCATTAAAATGCTTATAACCTATATGGTTGTGGTTTCGGTTATATTGACATGTACTTGAGTTTTCAAAAAATGACTTGAGAAAGTTAAAATCTAAAATTTAAAAATGGGATCAGTAATATGAAGGTGTTTAGAGGGCAGAATTTTATATCTCTTAGTAAATCCAGTTTATACTTAATAAAACTTCTTAAAATTCATTGTGTTTGAGGACATAACCACACGTGTATCAGCAGATGCAAATATTCTCAGAGGTCAATTTTTACCTTCAAAATTAAATGTGTTTTACAGTTTGGTCTACATTATGTACATGTTTAGTTTAATATAAAAAAGATTATGTAAAGTTTTCAACAGGTATATTATGAAACTGTTAAATTATTCAGCTTCTCTGTCTCTCCTCTAATTTGTGTGAAAAATTGATAATCCAAGAATCTTCCCTCTAATTATCCTAGTAATTTCTCATATCCTAGTTCACCACTGCATATCCTTGTTTGAAAAGTACTGAAGTAAATCTGTAAGATACTAGGGAAGGATAACTGAGTTCATATCCACAGATTCGAAGTGTGTTCCTGGATCTTTTAGTGAATTCTGATACCTTGAGCTTGTTTTTCAATTCTAAAGCAACTGATGAGACTTGCTGTCAATTACTGGATAAGGACAAGTTAAAAATGTCTGTGCTGAGTCATTTGCATATATTTCTCATTTAATCCTCACAGAAACCTTTGGGTGAGGATTGGAATTTATTATCTCAAATAGTTGGAGATTTTAAGGAATTTGTTAAAGTACATACATCTTAGTGGTATTACCGATGCAGTCACCATGCAAGTCCAGGAGAAGTTTTGAGTCTCTGTTAATCACTTGCAGCAGATACAGGTCCGAGTGTTTAAAAATAGTATTATCTTACAATTTTCTTAGCACCTGGTATTCTTATTACATTAGTTACATTATTTCATTTTGGTATTGGCTTATAAAGAATATTGAGAGATTTTGATCACACAGATAGTTAATTGAAGCTCTAAAACTCATTTCAAGTGCCTGTCTCAGCTATTTAGTTTCGGTAAGGTCTTTAACTTTGTGTCATTGTGTATAAAATAATAAAGATAATTCTGAAATCACCGAACTCACAAGGTTTCCTAAGTATGAAATTATTATAAATGTGCAGTATGCTGTAGATCATTATACAAATACAATAAATTGTTCATTTACAAAAATTGATTTTAGAAACAAGGTTTGGCCATTTTTTATAATCTTATTTAGATATCATCTGGCTAATGGAAATTTATTAAAGATTTCTTTTTGTGGTAATGAATTTTCTTACCTACATCTTCCCAGATCTCTTAATCTTTTTATCCCAGGTTGAAATTCCTCATGCTTAGTAAATGTAGAAGTGCTTTTGTCCTTTTATCCATATTTGCCTTTCAGAACACAAATAGCCTCAGCGACTCAGATGACTCTATCATCAGTAAATAATGAGATAGAGTTATCCAGTAGTATTTTCTGTTTTCAGAACTCAGGTAGGAAGTGGTTATGAAAAATATTTTCAGTAGTCTGATTGTTGAGCTTTCCTATGTTAACCTTTGAACAGCTCCCTCATTTATATATCATTGATCTATCTTTTGTGTGCTAAATTTCATTTTTGTCAATAAATAATAGTTTGAGCCATCTTACAACAGTGAGATGACACATAATGGTTTAATTGTGAAGTTTCAGTGAAGTTGCCATCTTAATACTATTAATGTGCAATTACTTAAAAATCACATTTTCTCTGCTTTTTGAAAAAGTAGCTGAAAACTTAAAATTAAATTATTCCATAGCAGCGATCCCATAAATACATAGAAAAAATAGGTGATTATCAGGTTTGGGTGTCAGGCAGACATTCTTTAAACTTAAATATTTCTGAAGAAAAGGACAAAATTAAAGGACCTGTGTGAAATATTAAATATTCTGTGAAAATTAGATCTAAAACATGAGGTGTCATTGGGTACTTCCTTTTTTAAATCCCCTTTGGATGGAACCCTTGTTAAAACATTTGTTAGGCTCTCACATACTTGATTTTCACATTTTCAGTAACATGTTAACAAAGGAAAGTGGATACCTCACTATACGTGATGAACTAACTCATAAGACTGTACTTCTCATAGTATTCCCTTGCATTCTGTTCTGTTTTCTTTTTGAGTGGAGGTGCCAAAAGATGAGTGCATGTAGTGTACTTTTCATCTCATTTGTATTAAGCTGATAGTTTAGTTTCTTTTATAGCCTGATGTCTAGAAAATGTTCTTAATTCCATGTGTTTTATTAGATGTTGAGCAAATAGTTGATACTGGCCTACCCTAAAAAGCCATAGAGTATAACCATTTTCAGAATTACATATAGGCAGTATTTTTTTTTACATATATTTCATTGACATATTTCAGCAGTAAATAATACCCATATATCCTTCATCTAGTTTTATCAGTTACTAACATTTTACTATATTGCTCTTTTTTAAATCTATGTGCATATACAGATTATTGTTGTTGTTAAACCATTTGAATTTTAGTTTCAAGTCTCATGGCACTTCACCCCAAAATATTAGACTTCTCTTCTTTTTTTTTTTAAATTTTTAAATTTTTATTTTTTTTAAAGATTTTATTTATTTATTTGATAGAGAGAGATCAGCGAGAGAGGGAACACAGGGGGGAGAGGGAGAAGCAGGCTCCCCGCAGAGCAGGGAGCCCAATGTTCTAAAACAGTGTTATTGCTAGTTAGGTAAGCTGTTTTATTAAAAAAAGATCCAGGATATGGCAGCATTTTCTTTTAAACTATAGATAACTGGCTGTGTTATGTTGTTTTCCTAAATTTTAATTCATGCAGTAAATCTGGTACTTACTTAAAATTCTTTAAAAATATTTACCATAGAACTGTATGTCTCTGTGTAATATCTGATTTATCTTTAAAAAGATATATGCATAATACCTTTCATTTAGTAAATATTAAATATTTCCTGCCTGGGACTTAATAGTGTTGTGTCATTGTTTCTTGAAGGAAATTGCCTTCTTTCCTAATACAGTTCTTTTGCTTCTTCTACTTCTGTTGTGATAGATACGACCATATGTAGGATGTCTGGTACAGTATTTGCCTCTTCTTTGGAAGCAGAGTGAAGAGCACAATATGTTGAGATGTGCTATTCTGACAACACTTATTCATCTTGTTCAGGTAAGTTACTTCCCAGTTTCTTAATATATATATATATATATTTAATTGAAGTCTGATTAACATGCAGTGTTAATTTCAGGTGTACAACATAGTGGTTTGACAGTCCTGTACATTACCCAGTGCTCACACAGTAAGGGTGGTTACCACCTGTCACTGTACACTTTTATTACAGTATTACTGACTATATTCCCTATGGTCTACTTCTCATCTCTGGGACCTATTTTTTTTTAAAAAATGGAAGTTTGTGCCTCTTACTCCCTTTTTTATATTTCACCAGTCTTCTTACTCACCTCCCCTCTGGCAACCACCAGTTCTCTGTATTTAAGATTCTAGGGTTTTTGGCTTTTTTTTTTTTTTTTCTTTTTAAAAATTATTCATTGTTTGCCTGTGGTTTATTTTAATGTAGTGAAAGGCCTCTCACTTTATGTCTTTTTCATGTGTGATCTAAACAGTTTTAAAAACTACTTCTGTGTGTTGACTTTGGACTTTTTTTGACATCTGGAAAATACTCTCTACTTTTTTTTTTTTAATTTAAATTCAGCTAGCCAACATATAGTACATCATTAGTTTCGGATGTAGTGTTCAGTGATTCATCAGTTGCATATAACACCCAGTGCTCGTGACATCACGTGCCCTCCTTAATTCCCGTCACCCAGTTACCCCATCCCCTTCAGCATCCTGAAGTTTGTTATCTATAGTTAAGAGTCTCTCATGGTTTTAAAGATGTTTTCTTTCATGGATGTAGCAGTCTCCCGTGGGGATAGACTCATGATTTGTGCAGTCCATTGTACTTTCCATGCACTTTCCTTGGTATTCAGGGCTTTTTTGCATAAATTTACTCTCCATTTTCACTCCTTTTTTGTGATTTAAAATAAAAATTTTCCCTTTCATCAGTTGGGAAGGTAGGGAAACAGGTGACTTAATTTTGAAGGAAGGAGTGAATATGATTTTGGACATCTTGACTTTGAGGTGTCGAGGTTGTGCAGAGGGTAGAGAAAGATCTAAAATTTCAGAGTGAACCGGACTGTGTAGGTGTCATTTGAATGGGTATAGTGAATTATATTCTGATGGTGAGAGGATAGAGAGGGAAGAGCTTAATGCCAAGTCTGAGAATATCTGGATCCAGGTGTGCTCAAGTGATTTTTATTGGCCTTGCCCCAAAGTATGATAGATTTTCCAGTGGGGAGATCGCTAAGTTAATAGTTACTACTTGACAATTTTCTAGTAAGTTAAAAATTGGGGAAAAAACATTTTAACATTAGTTTTTAAAAAACCTTTCTCAGGCACCCTAACACTTTTTTTGAATATTTATGGGTGAGTTTTACAGTTATAAATTCCTACATAAGGCAGTTTCAGATAGATGAATAGTGATACAAAAAATTTTTTAAAGCACTTTCTTTTTAATAACTGTCTCATGTAGCATCTCTTCTTATCTACCATTTAATTCTTGTGATCTTCTGTGACGATTACATCCCTTTTACAGAGGAGGATACAAAGGCTAGGATAAGGTTACTGCTCTCATAAGTAACAGAACGAAGAGTGATCCCACATTTTTTGCATTATATCTCTGCCAAAATGTGTTTTTAGATTCAGTTTGAGAGTTTTGTGACTGAGGTGTGAAAAAAACCAGCTTCTTTTGTCTCCTTAGGCAATGTCACCTCAGGAAGTGTTAGGAAGCCAGAGTAACCTGCAGGTAATGTTTATAGAGTATAGTGTAGGGCCTTCTCCTTTAATCATGACTGTTCTGTACCCTGTGTTTTTGTTTAGGCCAAAGGTGCAGGTTTCCAGCCAAGTGGTCATCCACCCTTCTTGAAGAAGGCATACAACATTTAATATTAAAGTTGAGACTGTAGCTTAAAATGTGTTTTTCGGTCATATGAGATTATACTAAGGGTTATTGTTAAGTTGCATTTTGTAGATAACACTGCCATCCTTGAGCTTTTCAAACTTAACAGGGAAACATTAGTGTATTTGTATGTTTTTGTTTTCATTTCATTTTTTATATTCTGGGAACCCAGACTAGTAGTCTCTGACTAAAGAGATCATCCTTTGATCCTTGACCACCTGCTTTTGTTATTATTATAATTTTTTTAACCTGCGAAGAATTTGAAGCGTACACAGAAAAAGGAAGAACAGTATAATCAGTCATCCTTAGGGAACTATCACCCAGCTTCAAGAATCATCAGCGTTTTGTCTGTATAAATTTAGGGCACTAAAAAGCTGATTGTGAGTGTTGAAAATGTATGGGAAACTTACTAATTGTGAATTTTTCCTCTAGGATATAATCTACCTGGGTTATTTTGTAGGGAATGATCCACATTTTTTGAGGTCTTTCCTCAGTAAAAAAAATCTTTCAGTTTCCTGCATCTTGCATGTTTACAGCTCCCTGTTCTCATACAGTATCGCTCCTTTTGATTACCTGGTGTCTCCCTGTCTCACTGTCTTGAGAACATTTGCTTTATCTTATCAGAGGATCTAACAGGGCCACTGGTTTGTTTGTGGACTTGCATGAAATCTTGGCATCAAACTGCTTTGTGAACACTTTCTGGAGGCCCTCTTAGTTTTCGTACCTGACCTTTAACCTCCCCCTTCCCAAACCAAAGTACCTCGCACTACCAGTTTTTGAGTCTTTTGGTGTTTCTGTAATGTAAATCAGGCTGCTTCTTGCCGCTACTTTACTGCTGGCTTCGAGCTTTGGCTTTCCTTGGTTTTCCAAGTTTGCTAAGTCAGTTACCACTTGTCTTTCCAGCTTTTATTTTTCTTATGCTGTCTTTGTACTTACGGTTATAGGTCTTTAAGGCACATCCTCCTAGTTTCTTTCAGTGGTTCTTGACAGAGAACAGTAGTAAATGCATGCATTAAATCTGTCAGCTTTCTCCAGATGTTAACATAGTATTGCTAATGCTGAGTTGTTTGGTGTAGCTGGAACATAGTACACAGCTTGGGTTTAGGGTCAGGAAGACCAAAAGAACATCTCCTGAAGGTCAGAGCAAGGAGTGTTATTTTTATTTTAGAAAGGTAATCAGACGAGATCGGGGCGTTCAGAGTGGTATGGCCGTAGACATAAAAAGGTAATCAGGGCGCCAGTGGGGGCAAGGTTTGGAATGGAGTAAAACTAAGGTCAAGGAAAGTAGTTGCAGACTTTCTGTTAACCATGAAGGAGATGATGTAGATCTGAAGTAAAAGCGATAGAGAGAAGGGAAAAGATTTGAAAAATATTAGACAGAATGAAGGATTGTTTAGATGTTGGGTGAGTAAGAAGAGGAACCAGGAGGTGGTTGAGATACCATTTATCACTAAGTAGATAGTGGTTCAGGTCACTTGAGTTTGGAAATGCAGGGAGAGGGACCAATTTCAGGAAGACAGTGAGTTGGTTCAGTGGTCAGCTTAAGAGTTTGAGCTGGCTTCTGGATGATGATGTCCTGTAGCTATTCACTCTGTTTGGAGTTCAGAGATTGAGGGTTGGAGGTAACAGATTTGAACATTTTCAGCATGCAGATGGCACAGGAGAAGGCAGTCAAAAACAATACCCTGGGGAATGCCAATATTTAGGGGGTATTATTCTTTTTTTTCCCCTTAACCTAAAAAAAATATTAGTAAATATAAATTCATAGGCTGTTGCAAAGATAGTACAGAGTATCCTTCACCTCATTTTCCCTTTTGTCTTATGTAATGATAGTACAGTATGATTTCTGCCCCTTGAAGCATTTCTCATAATTTTAATAACTGTTGAATTTACTTTTGAGCTTTTGTAGTATTGTACACAATGTCCTATTGTGATTATTTCATAGTGTTGCAGACAGTGTTCTGTAGTTTATAACTGTGGGCCAAGAGAATGTTCAAATTTATTTAAAGCTGAATATCTGGGATTGGACACATTCTTTAGGCCATTAGACTACAAAAGTGAATGTCTTCAGGCTTTGACCCGAGAGACTCTTACATGTTTAGCAGTTGCTTACTTTGATATGTCTAAAGCTAGCATCTTGTGCTTATTGATGTGTGCTAAGTAAGTAGATGGATTCTAAGTTTTCTAGGAAATTTTAGGTCTACTTGATAATAAAAATGAACTTGACTGGTTTATCTTAATGTTCTTTGTGTTGTTTTGTTATAGATTGAATTGTAGAGATTGAAATTAAACTAAACTTTAAAATCCAGTATACTACTTTGTTAATTGTGACATTTTAATAATCCTCTTTCTTTAAAAACATCTTTAATAAGGTCTTTCAACTGATTTTTAGTTACAGAAGGGGTCAAACTTTTTGAAGGATTAAACTTTATGTATTTCCACTGAGGTAGCTGCCCCACTAATAAAGATGGAACTCAGTATAAGATAAATACATGTAGATTTTTTTTTTAAATTTTTTATTCTTATGTTAATCCCCATACGTTACATCATTAGTTTTAGATGAAGTGTTCCATGATTCATTGTTTGTGCATAACACCCAGTGCTCCATGCAGAATGTGCCCTCCTCAATACCCACCCCCCTCCCCTCTAGAACCCTCAGTTTTTCAGAGTCCATCGTCTCTCATGGTTCGTCAAATACATGTAGATTTTGTTGCACTGTAATTTATTATAAACTGTATTGATATTTGAATTATTTCCTAAATAAGGGAGGTATTTGATACTTTGTTTCCTTTCTGTGTTTATCAGATTAGAGAGATTATTATGGATTAGAAATTGACTTTTTATCTATTTCATTTTCTTGTAGAGCGCTTAGACTTAGTGTGCTTCCCTGAGTCAACCTCTGTAAGACAGTTACTAGGCAAACTAGAACTTGAGATAAAACCCTCTTCTTCCTCCATCTTTGTGTTCTTGGGTCAGTAATACGAGCAAAAATTGTTCATTTAAAAAAAAAAAAAGCTTACAAACCAAAGAAAGAATCTCTTTTACCCTCTTCCAGCATCCTTTTCCCCTTCCCATATTTAATTAGTGTTAATTTTTTCTATATGCTCCCTAGAAACATTTTTATGCATCTATCTCATATGCATATAGGTAGATATTTTTAAAAATTCTTGGACCTTGTGCAATTGTTATACACACACTTTTGCGCCCTTTAAATCCAGTTAGTAATTATTTTTGAGGTTGTTTTCATTCCATGCCTAATCCTTTTTCATTGGCTGCTCAGTATTCTGGAATATGAATGTACTATGATACAGTTATTTTACTGATGAACATTTTGATTGGGTTCATTTAGAGATGATTTATAGAATTTAATATAGCAGTGTTAGTACTTCTTAAGTAGAGAAGAGAAATTATTTACATGTGGAATCTCTTAAAACGAACAGATGTTTATAGCCTTGGTGTACATGGTTTTATTACCATTAGGCAATTGAATAGTATTTTTTTGCTACTTGCTGTTCAGTTGTAAACAGAACTAACCTTGTTTTAGTAGTGCTGTTTAGGACCATCCCAGAAAATCTGATTGATTTATTTTTTATAAGTTTGTTTTAGGACCTTTTTATATGATAGGTTATTTTTTTGGTGGGAGTGGGATCTTAGAGTGTCTTATGTTAAGTTTTATTTATACTTCCCATAGGGATTAGGAGCAGACAGCAAGAACCTGTACCCTTTCCTGCTCCCAGTTATTCAACTGAGTACAGATGTTTCCCAGCCTCCACATGTTTATCTTCTGGAAGATGGTTTAGAATTATGGTAAGAGGAAAAATTTGATACTCTGGATTTCCCCCCCCCACCCCCACCCCCGGCCTTCCATACTCTCATGCCAATAAAGCAAAGGTCATGTAACAGGGCTTAAAAATGCAGCATTTAAAAACAAAAACATGAGGGCGCCTGGGTGGCTCAGTTGGTTAAGCGACTGCCTTC